CGGCCGCAATCTGCCTTTCCCCTTTTCTTCTTCTATTATTAAACCCAAAAGCCAAGCGCGGAGCTCCGCAGCATCTCCAGCCCCCGCTGCCCCGAGACCACCGGCGATGGAGCTGCTTCCCCGGGGGCCCTGGCCGCTGACCTGCCTGGTGCTGCTCTCCCTGCCAGGTAAGCCACGGCCCTGCTGCTCCCTTGACTCTTCCCTTCTTTTTTGCCTTCCTTTCCCCTCCACCCTCGCCTCTTCCCCCCCACCTTCGCCGCGCACCTCCCGACCGCGACATGATGCTGTTCGGTTTGACCTTTCTCCGCGGTGACCTAGAGCGCGGTGATGGGTTCCCCTCCCGCAGGGGCCTCGCTCCGCGGCTCCTCCAGCAGCAAACTTCAAGGCAGACATTCCCCTTCCCAGCCAGACGAGGGAATTAGGCAGGGACGTGAAGCGGCATGTTGTTTCCACCCATTTGCTAGCACCCCCTGCCAGCTACGTGAGAGGAAAATCTCTGCTAGCAGCCCAAATTCCTGCTCAGAGGTTGCCCGGAGGTAGGGAGGATGGTGGAGCAGGCAGGGGGAAGGTTGTGCTGAGGGCTGCCGGCCTCCTCTGCCATGGACTTCAGATATGCCCCATCAAGGCCAGGTTGGACACAGGGGCTTGGAACAACCTGCTTTAGGGGAAGGGGTCCCTGCCCGTGGCAGGGGTTGGAGCTGGAGGAGCTTTAAGGTTCCTTCTAACCCAAACCTTTCAATGAACTTGTTTTTCTTTCTACCCCCCTGCTTTACTCCCCCAGAGTGCAGTTCCTGCTGCTCTAACCCAACTGTTGAGCACTGAAGTGGTGGGATTGCACCATCCCTCCAGGCATCTTGCGCCACCCAACCCTGCTGTGAGCACAGGTTGCCCCAGGCTCCTGCTGCTGCCCCTGTGTCCCCCAGCCCTCCACGGGACTCCTGCTGCTGGCCTCCAGCATGTCTCAGGGCTCCACCAGCCCCTGGTGCTGCAGCATGAGGTGATCGGGGTTTGTGCTGCTCTCTGGCTGTTTCCCTTCCCTTACTAGCGGTGGGAAGTTTCTTGCCCTACCAGGAACAAAGCCCTTTGGTGGCTGCTGCTTTCAAGGAGGTTTTCTTTCTAGGGTGTTTCATTTCAGTGCTCTTCATGATAAGGAATTGCTCTCCTTCCTGCCCAGCACTGTCTGCACCTTCAGGGAGGGATGGGTCAATAGCAATGCGCCTTCAGGACCATCTTGCTGTTGGGCTTTTTTCCTGCTCTGTCCAAAATTCCCACCTTCCAGTTGGATCCCACTACAGACAACCCAGCCAGGCTCCCACGTGTGGGAAGCCCATGTTCTCCCAGGCCCATCAGAACTATTTACCGTCAAAGCTTTCCTTGGGCAGGGACTTGAGCGCAAACTTGAGCAGAAAGCAAATGCTTTCAGCACAACACTTCTTGCTTTGAGTTGCCTGATCACAACTGAGAAGTGTTGGCCCCAAGCTGAAAACTCCCAGTTGCTGAAAGCCAAGAAGGCTTTGGCGGTGAGCGGCGTTTCTCAGTGAACCGCTGTGATTTCCTGCCACGGGAGAATGGCTCCTGCAACGCGCTTGAGTTTAATTAAACATGGCCTTGGGACTAAGAACCCCGTTTTCCCGAGCCAGCCATAGGGAAGGAACCATCCTGGGGTGGAAAGCCGTGCTTTGCATCCCTGATTCCGGGTGCGAGCATGCAGATCTTAAGTCTTGACTTCCATACAGTGAAGACCCTGCGGTAAACCCGCCTGGGCCATGGCTCAAGCGAAGCCTGGGCTCCAGGAGAGCTGGCCCAGGCTCCGGCTGCTCCGACAGTGCTTCTGCAGAGGCAAAGGGGAAAGGGCAGGTCCTGCTGGAGCTCTTCCTCTAGGGCAAAGAGAAGCGAGGTGCTCAGTAGTCAGATTGCAAAGCCCTGTTGCAAAATCTGTGCCGTGCAGGCACTTCTCAGAGCTTCCCCTAAAGAGGAAATCTGTTTGCTCGTGGGGCTCTGGCTTTCAAGCTGAATTTCTGCTAAGGCTGTAGGAGGGAAGCTCGCAAATGGTGGCTGTGTGTGATCCGAAGCTTCCTCTGATGTCATGTCTGTAAAATACAGCCCTTACTACAAGCATCCCTGGGCCGCACCGGGATCTGCATGGCTCAGCACCTTATCCTGGGGTCTCTCTTCTTGGCTTCCCCCGAACTGCAGATTCCAGGCCCCTTTTATAGACAGCACCTGTTAGTTTCCTCCATGGACAGCCCGGCTGCAGGTGAAATTCCAACAAGATTATTTTGGGGCTTCTCTTGCCCTTCAGTGGGTGCCCGCGGGGCTCTGGATGCTGGTGACCAGCTGCACGTTGCTTCTGGAGCACACAGCCACCCCAGAGCTGCTCACCCAGCTCCTTTGGAAGGGGAAAAAAGGCTCTATTTTTATCAGGAAGCATCCGAGCAGCCTCTCCTGAATTAAACCCCAGCCTCTCGCAATCTGTTCCGTATCAAATACTTCAAAAGGTGGAATACAGGGGGAAGAAAAATGTGTCACCGAGATGGAAAACTTGCGCCACAGCGGGAGGGCTGGGGGTGATTCTGCTCCCAAATTAAACCGAATACCAGGGAGGAGGCTCTGCCAGGCCAGGCGCAGCACGATGCCCGTGCTCGTGCTGCTGCTCCAGGCTGGAAGTGCTCTGGGTCCGCCTTGCGAGGGTGCTCCCGCCTACATGGGAATTGTCAGGCGATGCTTTTCGGGGCTCTAATCCCCTTTGCTAACTCGGAGTGTGGGATAGAGCAGATTGCAGGGGCAGAGCACCTGAACTCCCCTGGATCTCGGAAGCAAAAGAGTCAGTTTGAAATCTAAGTCTTCAGAAACTCCTGTCATCGGGAGGCACTGTGAATGTGCAGGTGGGAAGCAGTTTTGTGCTGGAATGGTGAGATGTTGTGGTGTGTTCCACGTGTTTGCAGCATGAGGACCCCCCCCCTGCATCCCATTTCCATTGCACAGACATGTCGGGAGCACACATGGTCCTGGTAAATGCCTACTGGGAAGGGGCTCACTGGGCTTTTTGGCTCTACCGCTGCTTGGGGTGAGCATGCAGAAAGGGGAAGGAGGGAGGCTGCTGGGTGCAAGGAGAAGCTGCCTTCAGGGGGAAAGGAGGGAAGGAGCCGCAGTGGAAACTTTGCATTTTCTAACTTGCATATTCTGAGGTTTTCTGTCAACTTCCCCTTCGCGTGTTCTCATGGGGGAGGGGGGTGGGCAATGCTCTATGGCTGCTGCTGCGGGAGTTTGGAGGGGGTCTGGCCAGGCTGGTCCTGGTGGGTGCTGGGTGGGCAGATGGCGATGTCGGATGGTCTGACCAGGACCTGTGCTCCTTGGTGGGAGGCACGAGTGGGTCTTGTTGTAAGTGACGTGTTGTTAACGTGGTGTATCATGGCTGAAGCTCATGTTTAATAGATCTCCTGCAAACCCCGAGCAGGGTGATCTGAATAGCAGGGCTGTGTGTGGAAGGCTCTAAAGCAGTGAGGTGGCTCACAGCAGAACACGTGGGAAAATACCCCCAAGCCACATTTTAGTCCTATCTAAGAGGCTACCGAGAGCCACGTGTGCCTTCTGAAGTGACCAAGCGACCGGCTCTGCCCGTGCAGCCT